CATATAATTTATTAATTGAATGAGAATCAATTACGAATATGAATATTCTCTTTCTGAGTTGAGTATAAATATCTTTCTCTAGCCAAGAGTATAACTTATAAAGAAATCTAATATTTATTACACGCTAATTATTTTTGCCCTGCAATGTGAATCAGTCTGTATGCTAATAAGTTTATTGGAAAACGCGTGTAATTATCATCGCTAACAGAAAATGTGCGTACATTTAGTGTAGCAATCAACTAGTTGCATTATTGTTGATATAAACGATGAAAAAGAATTCAGAACACTAGTCCAAATTAGGATAAGTGGATTACCTCGAAATGAGCGGCTGATGATTCACAATATCTTCTACCACACCACCAGCAGGATGATTCACCTTTCTATGAAAAAACAATATAACCAAACAATTCTTCATTATAGATTGATATATAATATACCACTCACATCGATGATAGATTTTCATGAGAATCAAATGTCTGTTTTGTTAATGATAAACGAGTGCTTGATGAACGATCATGTTCATTATCAAGAACCCTAGTGAAAATACTCATCAAGCGAGTACGACTTTCCAGCATGAGTACTCATATTACTCGTACGAGTACTCGAGGAGTTTAACGTGTATGTATACTTTTCGCGTACTCTGATGAGTACTCGTACGAGTTTTTCTTTAGAGATTTACTCGTAGGCAGATATATGAGTACTCAATGTAGTACTCACGATGGTTTTTCGCAGAATATTTCACAAAACACTTATGCCCTAGTATATACAAAATAAATTGAGATAAGATAATCAAAGAAAAAGATGCAATAAATTAAAAAATAGAGAAAATTTGTTTTAATGACTTATTTATTCGATTCTCTATTCTTTTCTGATGAGTCATTTACACGACTAAAATAATTCGTGACTGTCAGAACGAAAAGAAAAACGATTTTTCATTTTCATTTGTTAGCTTCGCGGGTGAGATTGAATTTTTTTAAACATATTAATGTAAATTCGCTTTAATTGTATTTCATAAATTTAGATCAAAATCTTCTATCAAAATTAACTTTTTCAGATTATTGTGAAATCTCGCGAATAAATCAGGATTTTAAAATAAGATGTGCGAATATACGACTGACAAAGAACTGTTTTTTTTTCTTTTGTAAATTACCTAGTGAATGTAAATAGTTACGAGTTTAAAAATGTCTGTTTCATTTTTTTGTAATAGTAAGCAATACTGTTCGTTGATTTGCTCTCGCATTTCTCATTATCACTGAATTATTTGTTATTTTTTTCTGCTTCAATTTTTTACTGTCCTCAATTCGTGTTTTATTGAACTCTCACTGTTTAAGATATACACAAAAAAATCTTCATTTTAGAGAAGCTAGTTAGATATTTTCTTATTTTCATATAATGAAAATACGATTTGTTCGACTTATTGAAAGAAAAAAGAAACAATAAGTAACATCGTATTTTTATTTTATAGATACTGAAAATATTTTAATTTTTTCGAAAATGATGAAGGTTTATATGTCCGTATTCTTTGCGTTAAAATATATGAGGCTGATATTAAACATGCAATTAGTTCTCAATTTGGTCTTTTTTTCAAATTTTCATTGCGTGTGTCTGTATATTTTGTTAATAAATTGATAATAAATAAAAAATGATGCAGTGCTATGGTACTAACCAAAATATATGCTTATGAGTATTTTACACAAACCAGCAGAGTACACAAAAAGTAGATAGGAGTACTCACAAAACACGCAATATTACACGATGAGTACTCATTCGTCGTACTCAGATACTCAGATTCTAGCACGAGTACCACTGGTGAGTACTCAAAACCCATGAGTACTCATGAGTACTCGCGGCATTTTCTAGCGTGAGTACTTTTTGAGTACTTTCTGGATGAGTACATGAACTAGAGCAGTGAGTTAGATGTCGTATCAAATGAATGTAAATCCGATTGATAATACTCATGTGTTGATAATGATTTATTAATCCCACGATTTAACTTTATATTACTAGTCACCGATGAAACCAAATTCACATGTCGAGAAATTGTTGTTGCTGCAGGAATAGTTAATGAACAATCAATCGAAACCGTAGACTTGGGTTGATCAATTTGTAATACATCTTTGTTACTTGGTGGATTTTTTTCGTTCGACATACTTGTTGAAAGTTGAACACGATTATCTGAATCATTATCTTCACTATGGAATGCACCTATTCGAAAAAAATCGATAGTCTGCTGTACATTTTTCAAAAAATGTTTTTCAAGCTATTGGAAACATGGAAACTAACCTGGTGCATTTTCTGAATCATAAAAAAAACTCTTCACGAGTTTTCTTTTTTTCTTCATTGTTACTTCGATATTATGAAGAAAATCTTCATGATTTGAATCTATCGAGATATTTGTTAAATCATTTGCATGTGTATCACGTTTAACATCATTTGTCGAAGAATTTGAAGGTTGAGATTTTTTCGAACAATTTAGTTTCTTGTTTTTTTCTTTTAGGCATTGATAAATGTCGAACGAAATGTAAAATTAAATGATTGAGAAATGATGAAATATAGATCTAGAATTGCATATATATATATAATTGTTTTACGTTATTAAAAGAGAAAAGTCTAGCAATAATACTGCAAATATTTAATTACATGTATCAGATGATCTTAAAACAAATAAATGGTACTGAATAATTAGAATCGAGGGCGTGGGTGTGTGGGTGTGGGTGTGGGTGAGGGTGTGGGTGTGTGGGTGTGGGTGAGGGTGTGGGTGTGCGTGTGGGTGTGGGTGTGGTGATGTGGGTATCGGTGTGGGTGTGGTGGGGTGGGTATGGGTGTGGGAAACTTTTAGAAATGTATCTTCCCACACCCACACCCACACCCACACCCATAAAAATGGTCATTTTTGCCACGGAAATGGTCGTTTATGCCATAGAAATGGCCATTTGTGCCATAAAAATGGTCATTTGTGCCATGGAAATGGTCATTTGTACCAAGCGCTTGTTACAGACAGACAGACGGACAAACAGACACAGGTGAATTACGGTTTCTAGACCCTATCCTTTCAGTCTAGGGAATATACCTTCAATTGAAAATATCGTATACAAAAACAAAGATCAAAACTTCGTTTTCAATCTGATATTATTCGTCAAATGAAAGATGAAACAATAAAACATCAATTATCATTGATATTTGTCTTATCATTATTATATAATTTATTAAATAATTTTGGTAATGTATCTGTGGGGTGGGTGCGTGCGTTGTGGGTGTGGGTGTGGGTGTCGTTGACGTTAAGAGAAACCCACTCCCACACCCCACACCTCACACCTACCAACACCCACCCACATTCACACACCCCACATCCACACCCTCTATTTATCATTAATACTTGAAGAGAACGATTTTTGACAAGGACAATTATCCAATCTGTGTAACTATGACTCAATTGTAGATTTCTCAGATTAATTATTCCAATTATGAGAATTATCATAAAAATCCACCAGTAGATTCTTTTTGTGTTGCAGAATATCTGTACAATCAAATTTTGCTCCATTTTCGATTGAAATTCTACCGATGATTTGATGAGTACATTTTGTCGAAATTCTCTAAAAGCATTAAGAATGTTGGTCGCAATATGAATGCCGTATTTCAATTGTAATTAACATGCCAGATTATGAAGAAAATTATTTAAATTTGTTGAACTAATTATTTTTCTCAAGTATTGTCTGTATGAATAAAATCGGTTTGAAGTACATGTTTTGAATAGATTTGATGTTGTAGATTCTATAGATTTTGTTACTTTCAGTGAATAAATTATGAGTTGTTTGAGAACAATCATCATTGACGTAATTCGTTTGTTGAAGCTATAACTAACTCATAGGGTATGTCAATAATAATAACAATAATAATTATCTAAGAGGGTGGGGCTATTGACTTTACCTTCGGTGAATGTTCTGTTCTTATCTCGAAATCAAAAAATCAAACTGTCAAAACTGTTCTATAATATGTAAAACAAAATAGATGAGAAATAATGCGACAAATGACTTAACAATCCAATCGAATGAACAACTATATTTTATTTAGATATTTGTTGATATCATTACAATTTTGAAATAATTTTAAACTATATAGAGTTAAATATCACAATTTAAATATAAACTCTTGAATATGATACATAAAAGAATAAGTACAATAAACATTTAACGATAATCTTTATTCTTACAATAAATTTGTTTTTTTCTCAATATATTACTTAAAGATCCATAAATGTCATCATAATTTATCCTTATCTATTTTATTCATGTCTCAAGTTTCTTGAAACTATTATAAATATTCAGTGAGCAATGCTGATTGTAAGAGAAAAATCAATTTTTCTATATTGTATTATTAATTTTCAATTATTCATTGGTTTTTTTCGATCATATTACAAGAAAAAATTCTTATCGTCGTTTCTCAACATTCAAAACAATGGCATTAAAGTTAATTATTTTTTTTCTTATATTTGGTTATACGGTTGGCTACAGAATTGCAGGTGAATCATGTGTGCTTCCATCAAGTCTCAAACCAAGTTATGATTTCAATTGGAAATCAAAAACAAATGAATGGTCGAATACACAGACTAAAACGAGCTATATGATGCTTGCATTATCATGGTAAGTTAAATCAATATTTTATATGAAATAATAGTTATGAAGAAAAATTAATTATTTAATATTGAATGAAATCAATCAGATTAAATATTGCTATAATATACATATAAATTATATTTTCGTGATCAATTATCAACTCTGAAATTCAAATATGAAATTGTTTCTATCGTATTCTAGAATATCCGATAATTTCATGCCGTAAGAAATTATTTTTCTTAGGAAATCCTGTTCAACTTCGTCCGATTCTTTTTTTTTTGAATCTAATCAAAATGTCGAAAACCATCGAATGTCAGAAGATACGATGGTTTTCGATAGGAATCTCATAAGAAAGTTATTTTTTCTGAATTATTTTTTGAATTTGAATCACAATGAAATAAATATCGATAGAGATTGAAATCTGTATATATAAATAAATTGATCATTTAAGGAGTCCAACATATTGTGCATCACTTACTCAAGCAGCGCGCGATAAAAAATTTCAATGCCATCCAAGTAATTCATTTGGTTTGATTGTTCATGGATTATGGCCTCAGGCATTGAAAGCTATTAATGTTCGATCTCATCCACGAAATTGTCGTGATGAACCTCAATTAAATGGAACATTTGTTAAAAGATATTTCTGTATTATGCCTGATGAAGATCTTGTACAAGGAGAATGGGAGAAACACGGTAAATATATCAAGCAATGTTTTTTTCTTTCGGGTATTGTTTCAGTTCTAATGATCTTTTCTTCAAGTAGAATTTGTTTATGAATACTAACTATTTTTCATTTATTTTGAAATTCAACCTTTTCTTTTAAGTTAACTTAACGTCTCACACATCTATTTAAACTAACAAATGAGTTATACTAATTTATGTAGAATTGAAAAAAGGAAAAGTTTGAGTCTGAATAATATTCAATATTTTGAAATATTTTTTCAAAGAATTAATTAATATTTGTTGCGAATATGAAAGTTTTTTGTATTGAATTTTATTTTCTCGCTTTAGGTACTTGCTATTATTCAGAAGCAGTTGATTATTACACGGTGACGGAAAATCTTTTTAAAAGTCTTCAATTACCAGAATATAATTTTTTAAGTACAGCATCAGCAACAGCAATCAAAGATGCATTTATTACACTAAACGGACCGAAAATATTTGCATCAGCAATTCAAGTTGACATGACAAATGGTAAATTTAAAGAAGTTAAAATATGCTACGATTTAGAATATCAATTTACCGCTTGTACTTAACTTTAATGCTTCATATTGATAATCATAAATATTCTATTGAAATAGTATAAATAAAGTTAAGAAGAATGAGAGATAAACTTTTGTTTGAATCAGTAATTAAAAGAATTGTCATGAAACAAATACCATACAGATTTATATTTTTCCTCTTGATAATTGTAAATGATGGTTTTATTTTTCCATTCGATAAAAATTAGAATGAAACGTTTATGATTAAAATATAAGACTTTTCTATTTGAGTATATGAGCCAGTCCATGTAAGCCACGACCGAAGTTGCTCAATCGATATCATCAGAACTTGCTCAATTTAAGATATGTTATAGAGGGAAGAGTTTTATGATTTTTGACGCAAGCCGATTCAAAAAATATTGAACCCTCGATTTTTTATGAGCATTGTATGAAAAGGCCTAAAAATGACCCTATATATAAATAGGGGTCCTAATGCAACGATATCTCACGAATGGCTCAACGAAATGAGCTGAAATTTTTCAATGCCATACATCTTAATGAATTCTATTTACCATAAAATTTTCGCTCTAAAATATTGAGCCATTGGGATTTTATGAAGCACTCAATATATGAAAAAAGGTCCATTTTCCGTAACTTTGGCATTTCATAACTTTTGATAGGAATGACATATGACTCTCAGATTTTTACTGTTAATAGAACACTGAGAGGTGTATCTATTCTGAAAATTTCAGCTATTCATACCGTTCCGTTTGCTCAGCGCAGCCCCGTGAAAAACGGAATTTTGATAAATGCAGGGACTTTCAGGATAGGGTTTCTCCCAAGAAATGGATTGTCTGGGGT